TGATCTCTACTGGTGGCGCGCGCCGTGGGCCTACTTCGCGGCGCGGCCCGACGTCGACACGTTCTGGATGGACGACGGCGCGCGCACGTCCCGCTTCGCGCCCCACTTCCCCAACACGGGCTACTACCTGCTCCGCGCGAACGCGCGGACCGCGGTCTTGGCGGAGACGTTGGTCGGCATGTACGACGTCGTCCTCGCGTGGCAGTCGCACCAGGCCGTCGTGTCCCAGGTGCTGGGCGAGATGCACGCGCTCCACGCGCTCACGGTGCAGATCTTGGAGAAGGAGGCCTTCCCGAGCGGCAAGCAGCTCCACCACAACCGGCCGCTCTTCGCGAAGATCGCCGACGGGTCCTACGAGCCCTACTGCTTCCACATGTGCTGGACGGCCGGCAAGGCCGACAAGCTCAAGTTCCTCAAGCAGGAGAAGCTCTGGTACCTCGAGCGCCACTGCGAGCTCGACGCGCTCGGCGGCGCGGACGACGCGCGGCTCCGGAAATGCGCGACGGGCGACTCGTGCCCCGTGCTCGCGGGGATGTAGCAGTCTTAAACAGGAGGATCTTAGGTTGCTTTACGTGGCTCCTCGCTCGTGCGCCAAGAGAAGAGCTCGAGCTTCCTCGAATCCGGCGTCGGCCCGGCGTTTAAGGTCTTAGGCTATACTCGCGCGTCGAGACGCGCGAGGGACTTTATAGCTGCCTCGTGGCCCTTGGCAGCGGCGCGCTCGAACCAGTATCTGGCTTTGCCGAGGTCGACTTCCGTGCCTTCTCCGTCCCTGTAACACATGCCAAGGCAAGTCTCTCCAAGGCTAAAGCCTTGATCCGCCGCGAGCACAAAGTACCGGACCGCCTCTTCAAATCTCTCCTCAGAATGAAGGAAAGCCCCTAAATTGGATTGCGCGATCACAAAGCCTCGATCTGCGGCCGTGCGAAACAGTCGCTCCGCCTTCTTCTTGTCCAGCTTGACGCCACTTCCAGTCCGGTACAATTCCCCAAGAGATGCCATCGCCTCCACGTCCCCGAGCTCCACGGCGCGTTTCAAAATCTTCGCGGCTTTCTTATCGGACTTCACGAGACCATTGCGACCGAGGCGGTACGACGTTCCCAAAAATGTAATCGCTTCCGGCACCTCGTTCTCCACATGGCGGCGAAGTTGCGCGAGCTGCTCCGCGTGGCTCTTCGCACACGGTATACGACAGAGGGGACACGCGCCGGTGCCGATCTTGTCCTGGCACGATCGGCAGACCCTCCGGCAGCAACAGACGCGAAACACGTGTTTCGTATTCACGTCCCACTCCTCGAGACAGATCGGGCACCGCGACCCGAGCCGTGCCGACAGCGGCTCCCGATCCGGTTCCGCCTCGCGCCGCAAACGCGCGGCCTCGTGTTCCGCGGCGATGCGCGCGCGGATCTCGTCGGCGTGCGACCGCGGCGCGGGGCCGTAGAAGACCTCCGGCGGGGGCGACGGCGGGGGCGTCGGCGCCTCCGCCCGCGCAGCCTCCGCCGCGCGCTCGTTTCGGATCTTCTTGCACGCCTTCCGGTGGCCGCGGTCGCGCCAGTCGATTCTTTGGCACTCAGTCGAGCAATACAAATGGTGCCACAGGGGCAATTGAGCTTGGCCTTTTCAGAGCAGATGGAACAGGTCAGACGGAGCTTCAACGCCTTCGCCCGGGCCTTCTTGGCCTCGTACTCTCGCTGCTTGACCTGCCATTCCTTCGGCTCCCCCGGCTTGTCCATATTCTCGAGAGTGTGGTACGAGACGGCGTGGCCGTGGGACAACTTTGCGGACACGCGGGGGGGATGACGACGAGCGTGGACAGCGGCGCGGCGAGGGCGACAGCTGTACTCAGCAGATAAACGCCGAGATTTTCGCCACACCCCTCGGGACGATCGCCGCACGCTCGCCGCGCGCGCCAGGCCTGTGACGCCCGTGTTTGATTCGTCAGCCTGCGCGACGCTCGCGGAGATCCAATACTCGTCGCTCAGCACACAACATAAGCCCCCTCGACAGATGCGAGCCATCCAGTTCACCTGCGGCGTCGCCCTCGGCGCGGTCCTCGCCCTGGTCTGGGTCGCACGCGAACACGAAGCGCCGCCGTTGCGCCGCCGGCTCGCCGACGAAAACTGCGTCGCCGGCGCGGGCTGGACGGGCTTCAAGCGCGCGGAGCGCTACGCGGCTTTGCAACACGTCGACGCGGACAACGCGAACCACAAGCGGCCCGGCGACGTCTACGCGAGCTGGCGCGGCCCCGCGAACGCCTGGGTCCTGGGGACCAACGGCACCTTCGACGGCGGCGAGAACGCGCTCATCCCCGAGGCCTGCGCGGAGCTCGACGTCGCGGTGTTCAACGAGGATCGATGCGTCCTCGTCTCGCGGCAGGACGAGCCCGGCGCTGTGTGGAATTCAAATCTTCAACCCGACTTCAATGTGATCATATGCGATAGTTTCGACGCAAACCCTTCGGCTGTGCTTCGAGAACTCGACGAGAGCAATCGATTCGTCCAAAAATCAGCCGAATCGACTTCGAATTGGCCGAGATAGAGAGTTCTGAAGTTTGGTGGGGGACCCCCAAACCAGTGGTTGATTTCCACACAGGCCCGGCGCGGGCCACGTCTACCGCTACGTCGCCGAGGGCGGCGCCTGGGCGCCGCTGTCGCGCTACGAGTCGGGCTACACCCTCGGTCCCATGCCGGAGAAACACCGAGTCCGCGCGCGGGAGCTGCTCGCGACGCTGATGTCGCAGATCGACGCCGTGCGCGGCGAGCTCGCGCCGATCCTCGCCGAGGCCGCGAAACACACGCCCGCGGCCTACGCGCGGACCATGGGCGACACGTCCAGGGGCGCGGTCCTCGTCATGGCCATCAACTGGGGCAACTTCGACCTCCTGCTCAATTTTCTGCGGTCCGCGTGCGACCGGCGCGTCGACGTGCGGAATTTGGTCGTCTTCGCCGGCGACGACCGCGTCTACGGCGCGCTCAAGGACGTGGGCGTTTTAACGTTCAAGCACGAGGCGCTCGGCGAGTTCGGCGAGGCGGCGGCGCGCGTCTACGGCGACCGCACGTTCTCGACGATGATGTGGTTGAAGATGACGTCCGCGTATCTCGTCAACGACCTCGGCTACGATTTGCTGTTCCAGGACGCGGACCTCTACTGGTGGCGCGACCCCTGGGCCTACTTCGCCGCGCGGCCCGACGTCGAGACGTTCTGGATGGACGACGGCGCGCGGACCGTGCGCTTCGCGCCGGCGTTCCCGAATACGGGATACTACGCGGTGCGCGCCACGGACCGCACGGCCAAGTTCCTCGGGGAGGTCCTCATGCTCTACGAGTTCGTGCTCCTGCGGAGCTCGCAGCAGGTCGTCGTCACGGAGCTGCTCGCGGAGCACCACGCGCGCTACGGCCTCACGTTCAAGCAGCTGCCCTGGTGGAACTTCCCGTCGGGCAAGCACTTCCACCACAACAAGGCCTTCTTCTCGACCGTGCTCGACGGGTCCTACGAGCCCTACTGCTTCCACATGTGCTGGACGTCGGGCAAGGTGGACAAGCTCAAGTTCCTCAAGCAGGCGAAGCTCTGGCTCCTCGAGCCGGCCTGCGACCTCAAAGCCCTCGCCGACGCGGCCCCGGAGGTCCGGCGGAGGTGCGCGTACGGGGACGAGTGTAAGCAGTAATTCGAAGGGGGCCTAGGGGCGCGGGCGAGGCGGGTCCGTAGAGCGAGCGAGTCCTAGGGGCGCGGCCGGAAGTCGGCCGGAAGCGGCCGGCCGCCGCGGGGCACTTGTCCGTTGACGATGATGTTCGGGTCGCCCAGGCTGCCATCTTGCATGCTTCGATGCATCATGTCTCCGATTTGCTGCAGCTGCGACTTACACCTCGCGACGTGCCGCGCGCACGACGGCATGGCCTGATATTCCAGCATAGATATCGAAACCGGAGGATCGCCCACCGCGGACAGGAAAGGATTGCAAGCGGGGTGCGAGACAATTTGGGTGGCGGTCGCCCCGCATCGACATGTCCACTCGTCGCGAAGGCGGAACTTCGGGTCGTGAAACTCTTCGATGATGCCCTCGACGACCGCGAGCCCAGCGGCCTCGTTCCCCGAGAGAAGTTTGTCCCGGACGGTGCGCGATGGTAGCGTCTTCGTGTACCGGAACTCGACTCGCTCCCGGGAGACGCCGTCCTCGATCGTCCCCTTGTACTCCACGACACATCCCTTCTTGCAGACCTTTTTGTGCTCTGCGCGCCAATGCGATCGTTGGCATTCCTTGCTGCAGTAAGAAACCATCCGACAGGCGGCACACTTCTTGTCGGCGTTCTCCTTCCCGCACGCGGCGCATACGTCGCTCGGCCCGGTCATCTCACAATCGAACGTTTCCGCACCTCCCTGGCGTGTCGGGGGGGCTCGTCGGCGCGGGCTCAGTCGCCCCAGGCAAAGACTGGCGCCAGTCGAGTGCGCCAGTACTGCAGTGGCAGTTTTCACTTTTACTCCTCATGAGGCCTCACGCGAGGGCGTCCCACACTATCTTCACGTCGCCCAGCACCAGCACGACGGCGAAGAGGGCCCAGACCAGCACCGCCGACGTCGAAAGAATGCTCTGGTACAGCGCCGTGCGGCATCTGTCGCCCTTCGTCGGCGGCGGCGCGGCGTCGCCGCGGCCCGCCCAGAGCGCGCGGTAGGTCGTCGCCGCGAGCACGAAGAAGAAGACCGTGCCGAAGCGGATGGCGTACTTGGTCATCTGGTTC